ACGGGGTTTCACCGTGTTGACCAGGATGGTCTCGATCTCTTGACCTCGTGATCCACCCGCCTCGGCCTCCCAAAGTGCTGGGATTACAGGCGTGAGCCACCGCGCCCGGCTGTATTTACTAAATTGTAAAGAAATTGCTACTTTCAACATTCACAGAATACTTTTTCTTTGATATTCCCATTTCAGCAAGAACTTGTTTTGTACTTTTACTTCATGACTGTGTTCTCTCCAGTTTCTCCTCTTTTTATTTTCTTTGCCAACCTGCATAACATGACTCCCAGTGATCGCTACCACCTGGAACTCATACTCTGTAAGTTCTCCTGGAGCGAGGGCTGGACCTAGTGATTTGCCTCTCATAAAACAAAGTATGGTAAAAGTGATGGAATTTCCCTTCTGCAATTAGGTTGTGAAAGACTGTGAACTATGACTTTTGTCTTGCTGACATTCTGTCTCTCTGGCTCTTCTCTGTGCTTCTCTTTTGAAGCATGTTGGAGATGCCCTTTTGGGAAGTAACTGAGAGAACTCTGCAGACAACTACTAGCAAGGACCTACGGCCCTCATTCAGACAGCCCTTGAGGAACTAGATGAAACTGGAAGTAGATCCTACCCCTTGTTGAACCTTGATAGAACTACAGCACAGCTGATACCTTGACTGCAGTCTCAACTAGCCTTGATAGCATAACATAATAATTCTGATGCACAATATTGAAGAATGAAGTTAAAATATAGCAAAACTGAAGTCTAAAAGTGCTATTAAGCAGTTGTTTTCAGCTTAATCCTGTTTGGTTTTAGTTGAGCTTTTAAAAGTGGTACTAGAATTTCAGCTTGAATTTTACTTGTTTCTTAAAAGTTAATAAAATAGCTGAAAAATAGACCATGGCCGTATTTGAAGGAGGATGCATACAAATCATAATACAATAACAGACCATAAACTACTAGAACCTGCATAAGTCAGGTATATCTTAAAAGAATGCTAATCATGTTTATTAAGGAATGACAATGGAATTATAAGTTAACAATGGTAGATAATATACATAGCCTTATAATAGATAGTAGTGTCAACAAAATAATGATTGTCTATTTCTTACAAGCACTAACTCTTCTGCAGTATAGTGTGTTTTAATATTTTTGATTGAAGACTTCTGGTCAGATCATTAAGCCATTTTCAATTTTAAAATATTTTAGAAGAATCTCAGTTTGGGTCACAGTATGTCTTTTTATGTTTTATTAACAGCTTTTACCGATTTGTTCTGGAACCAGAACTGATGTCAGGGGCTAATGACGCTTCTTCTCTTGGACCAGTGGCAAAATTCCTGGATATTCCTGAATCACCCCTCCTAACCCTCAACATGATTACTCCAGAAGGCTGGTTGGTTGAAACAGTACACAGCAACTGTGACCTTGATAATATTCACTTAAAGGATGTAAGTTATGTATAGTCATATAAAGATAGAGAAACAGAATAAATTCTTATTAGCTATTACAGTTGTAGCAAGTGAGCAGTCATACTATAGATGCTTACTAGAATCTTCTTTTTTATAATTCTGGGTCCTGATCCAATGTTTCCTCTGATTTTTAAGTTTTTCTAATTTCCAAATTCAGCTTCTCTAGTCTTTCAAATTCCTAGATGTCTTTACCTTTTTTTTTTTTCCCTTTTTGCCTCAGATTTCTAGCTTACAAAGGCAATTCACTAAGATGAGCAATGTAAACAAATATGGAGAGGGACACTTGGCAACTTAGTACAACACCAATAAGTACTTACTTTGTTCTTCAAGTTTAGTTTTTAAGTCAGAGAGCAAGTTTTATCCAAAACTGTTTCGTTGTTGTTGTGTTTTTTTTTTTTTTTTTGGCCTCACAGCACATGGCCAGAGAAGATAGTCCTAACTAGATTAGGATAGAAAGTAGGAAACAAAATTTGCTGGTATACTGCAGGCCAGGTTACCTGCTTCTCATCACCCACCATATAACCCTTGTCTAGTGAGTAGTCAGGCTTCTCTTTCTCAGCTATAGTAATTCGCAGCACAAAAAGAGAGTGTTTTAAAATAAACTGAGTCTTTCAAACATTGAATTTAGAATGAGAAAAGGAATTCAGAAACCACAGTAAAAAGGGAATCATTTTAGAAGAGTTTACCTAAGATGTGTGTTAGTCCAGTTTCACACTGCTATAAAGTACTATCTGAGACTGGGTGTTTTATAAAGAAAAGAGGTTTAATTAACTTATAGTTTCACATGGCTAGGGAGGCCTCCAGAAACTCATAATCATGGCATCATGGCAGAGGGGAAGCAAGGCACGTCTTACATGGCAACAGAAGTGTGAGGGAGTGTCACACACTTTTACACCGTCAGACCTCATAAACACTCACTATCATGAGAACAGCAAGAGGGAATCTGCCCCCATGATCCAATCACCTCCCACTAGGCCCTTCCCCTGACACATGAGGATTACAATTAGACGTGAGATTTGGGTAAGTACACAGAGCCAAAACATATCACTTGGTATCCAAAAAATGAGGAAAAAATACTTCCTTCTCCTCATTGTCCTCCCTCTGACCTTTTTCCAGCTCTTGGTGTCTGATACCTCCTGTAGAACATAACCATTGCCTTGACTAAAGCATAAACATTTACTTGTAATAATTTGGTTAAGATTGTTTATTATGTTTGTTTCTCATGTGTCTTAACGTATTACCTTTTGCCTAAAGATTTTCCTTCTAGGAAAATTTATTTTGATCCACTCATACGTGGATTCTGTGGGATCCTAAATAACTTTTCTGTAACGTACTCCCCATCACTCCCAACTAGACCCACCTAAAAAATAATCGAAAACTCAGTCATAGCCATCATCTTATGTCCTTTAAATCTAGAGAAAAGGCAGCAAACTAATAGCATTAATCAGAAAAAGTTAACAAATGAATGTTACAAGAAGTGGGGAAAAAATTACTGTTTTTTCCCTGATCGGTCAGATCTCTTAACGGAGTCTAGAATTCTTCATGAAAAGAATGTACCAATGTACTCAATAAGGTAACTTTTAAACACCTTATCCAAAAGTGTGAAGTGTTTGTAGTAGGAGAAATTGGTACAGCTTAGAAAAGATTTGAAATCAGTCTGCTGGTGCAAAGTTCAGCAGCTATTCAAAAGCTGATGGAGATTAAAACTTTTTTTGTGTGTGTGGTGAGTGTCAAATCTAATAGTGTCTTTTTAGAAGCTGTTCGGATGAACACTAGCTCTAACTCTGAAGTTAGAAGACTAAGATGAATGAAAATTTTCTGTGTCTTCATAATTTATGTGAATAAACAGAAGGAGATTATAAATTCTAGCATCTGTAAAAGTTAACCACCCCTCAGGCTCATCTTTTTCATTGTGTGCCATACACTCTTAAAATATTCTGCAACCATCCTGGAAAAATAACAAAGGCATTTGCTACAGTAGTTAAAGGGGAAAAGTACGTACATCCTGGCAAAAATGAGACTAATAATGAGAGATTTACCATCATACACTAACCTGTGCAAACATTCCTGGGTACACCTAATTCCCAAACACTATACAAACACCTGGAAGAAACTTGATCTGGAAAAATTCTCCCTTAGCAGGACTTTGTTCACATGATTGTCCATACAATGACTTTACTGCACAACCAGCATTAATTTCATAATTAAAGGCGACACAAGTGATTAAGAAAGCTAAAAGTGAGAGTTCCTTTTACCGGGAGTTCAGATATTGCTCTTCTCAGCACTTATTGTTAGAACTGCATCCAAAGACTCTCTAATTATATTTTATCACAGTATATATCTGAAAGATATCAAAATACCTAGAACAACAATAGTGGTTGACCAAGGAAAGAGAAAGTGCAATAAATAAAAGATTGCTAATGAGAAATAGGATGTGGCTATGTTAAAAAGAATGCACAGAAAAATGCATTAACCCTTCTGAAATAAATAATTTTGAAATCACTTTTATTGATATTTATTGATATATTCATTACCAATATAATTGTGAAAGAATTTGTTTATTTTCAGAGATATGGTAGAGGTATAATAATACTATATTATGAATTAGATGAACACACAGTTCATCTTAGGCTCAGTTTACTCTCTCAGTGCATAACATATGAATTTTCTATCTCAAACGATCAAATACTTATAAAATTTGGGGAAAGTTCACATTTGTAGTGAAGAGTTCTGTCCCCTCTGTAAAACTTAGCAATTTAAAACAAAACAAACTTGGAAATTTGTATACCAGAAGACTTTGCTATAGAAGTCCCTTAATTCAAAAGGAAATGTTCTGAGATAGCCCCTACCCAATCAGTGGATACCTGAAACCATACATAGTACCTAACCTTATATACACTGTTTTGTTTTTTCATATATGTACCTACCTATGATAAGATTTAATTCATAAATTGGGCACAGTAGAGATTAACCTTAGTAACTAATAATAAATAGAACAATTATAAAAATAGGTCTTCATCCTCTACTCTTGTGCTTTTGGGTCACTAAGTGAAATAAGGGTTCCTTGAACACAAGCACTATCATGCAAGATTCTATGACAATACTCAGAACAGTGCACAGTTTAAAATGTATGAATTGTTTATTTCTGGAATTTTTCACTTAATATTTTTGGATCATGGTTGACTGAGGGTAACTGAAACTGCACAAAGAAAAACCACAGATAAAGGGAGACTACCATACCTTATATGCCTCAAACTACTTAATCATCTAAAACTAATTCGTTACTTTCACTTTTCCGTGGATTTTTGCCCATTCAGAGTTCTGAATAGTTTCTCAAAGTTCAGATTGCACCAAAGTCATTAAGTTTAGCCTTCACATGCCTTAAGATGCAAGAAGAGATGTACTATCATTTATCCATCTCCACTATCAGATAGCTTGTCAGAGTTCAGATCACAGATCAAGATATATATTATAACTTTGCTAATAATAACTTGGGAAAGTGTGTCTGCAGTTGCACAAAATCATGTTCAAGAGCAACAAAAATACTAAACATACTTACAGATAATTGTTAACAAACTCAAATGCTAATCTTTATAATTAAACCTAACCTTTTTTTAAAGGAAGACACTTAGGTATTCAGCCACAGAAGAACAATACAATTAATATCCTTTTAGAAAACTTAGTATGTTCTCAAAGTTACATTTGAAAGGTATTAAATTTATGTCCGGTATCAACAATATTTAGAATAGAAAATAAAAATATAAAGGGAAGATTAAAACATAAGGATCAAAAAAGATCACTAACTCATATTTTTGCTAAAAATGAGCTTTGTAGCTTGGCATGGTGGCTCATGCCTATAATCTCAACACTTTGGGAGGCCGAGGCACACAGATCACTTGAGGTCAGGAGTTCGAGACCAGCCTGGCCAACATGGTAAAACTCCATCTCTACTAAAAATACAAAAAAAATTATCTGGGAGTGTTGATCTGTGCTTGTAATCCCAACTACTTGGGAGGCTGAGGTGGGAGAGTTACTGTTTGTTCTTAAAAACAGTAAAATAAGAATAGAAATCAAGAAAGAAATGCTGTAAACAAATATATTAATTATTTCTGAGACAATTACAGTCCAGGAAAAACAACTATACAATACAGAATATATCCAAATACTCTGTATTCTAAACACACTAAACAATAGTGTTGAAAACCTAATATGGTGAAGTAAGATTAGATATATGTAACATCACTGATTTTAATTTACTTAACAGAATTTTCAAACTGTAAAAATCATTGTTTTACTTATTCTCATGTTTGGTTATGTTATTCAAGTGAAGTAGAGTAAAAGCTTTATCTTGAAAATATTTATTATAACATTTGCAGTAGAGAAAAATCCAGAAACAACTGGAATGTTCAGCCATTTAAAAAGATGTTTATAGAGACAGAGACATGTTCTTAGAAAACCATGTTTAATGAAAAAGCAGATGACTTTCTTACAAAAATGTGTATAAAGACAAGAAATAGAAATCAGTGTGTTGACATTTATATCAATGTTTATTCTGTGCTTTCTGTTTTTTCTTCTTTCCACTTGGGAAATGGAATATTATATTGATTTTTTAATTAACTTTAAAAATGAATTTCATTAATTTATAATTAGTTGATTATAGACATTAATGTTTTTTAATTACAAGAAGGCCAATAGATAGTAAGTTAGCTTTCTTGCCAAGTCTAAAGTGGGAGCTTCAGGACAACAGCAAACTGAAGCAGATTCTTTAAGTAATTTCCCATCTAAATCTCATGTTCACATCTTTCCTGCTTGGTTATATTGGTGCATATATCATGAGGTTCAGGTAAAGCTGATGTCATGAAAAAGAAAATGTTTATCTTAAGCTTTTTGTCTTGAAGAAATCAATTCAACTCATAAATTCACCCGTGTAAAAGAAGGACTTGAAGTTACCCACTGAAATACATTGGCCAGTATTAAAAAATCACATGTATTTATTTCAAAATTTTGTATTATGAGTTTTACTAACACCAAAACAATGACACACTTTCTCCACAGACTGAGAAAACTGTTACTGCAGAATATGAACTAGAATACTTAGTACTTGAAGGACATTGCTTTGATAAAATGACAGAACAGCCTCCTCAGGGTCTGCAGTTTACACTAGGCACAAAAAATAAACCTGTTGTGGTTGATACAACAGTGATGGCCAATCTTGTAAGTAGTATTTAATTGATGATATTTAATTTGATGTTGTGATGAAATTCTCTGTTTTCCTAATAGTAAAATGAAATAATCTTTATTCTGCTATTGCTGAACAGTTTGCCGAAAACATAATTGAATCTTTGAAGAAGATAAATAAAAATAGGGAAAATCATACTTTCATAATATTATTTTAACAGGTTATTGTAAAATCTCTTTACTTGAAATTTATTTATAGAATTTATTCATTCTACAATTAATACTTTCTTGGATTATTCATGTATTCATGAACAATTAGATGATTTTTAGTCATATTACTCAATTATTTTTTTTTCTCATTTTAAAAGGGATATTTTCAATTAAAAGCAAACCCAGGTGCTTGGATACTGAGGTTATGCCAAGGAAAATCTGAAGATATTTATCAAATAGTTGGGTGAGTTATGTAGACTGCCTTTACACTTTTAAACATAAACATTTTAGTGTAAATCAACCAAGATCATCAAAACAACAATTAAAATGTTAAGACTGGCCTGGCGCAGTGGCTCACACCTGTAATCCCAACAGTTTGATAGGCCAAGTCAGACAGATCACTGGAGGCCAGGAGTTCGAGACCAGCCTGGCCAGCATGGCAAAACCCCGTCTCTACTACAAATACAAATATTTGCCAGGTGTGGTGGCACACACCTATAATTTCAGCTATTTGGGAGGCTGAGACCCAAGAATTTCTTGAACCCAGGAGGCAGAGGTTGCAGTGAGCAGAGATTGTACCACTGCATTCCAGTCTGGGCCAGAGAGCAAGTCTCTGTCTTTAAAANAAAAAAAAAAAAAAAAAAAAAAAAACTGGGTTAGGTCCATCAGCAAGATAGGACATTCCAGTGCTCATACCCATGCAGAAACATCAATTTGAATAACTATCCACTCCACCCATAAAACTACCTTAATAAAAACAAAGGAACCAGGCGAGCTATTACAACACTGCAGTATAGCACAGAAATAAGAAAGACACATTCAAGAGTGTAGGAAGGATAGTTTTACATTTCATGCATCACTCCTCCCTCAACCTGATACAGTACAGCTGGAGGGAGATACCCACTTGGGGGAAGGAGAGGGAAGTGAGCACCAGACTTTGCCTTGGACCCCAAAACCATGTTCACCCAAGTAAAACGCAGTTCCAGGTAGGCCCCCACAGCCCCAACTTAATGCTGGTACCGGAAGGCTGAGCTGCCAGATCCCGCAGCCCCAGGCTGTTGCCCAACTCCAGTGGCAGGCCAGCCGCCACAAATTCAGGCTCTTAGACTTTTCCCTTTACCAGCATAATTGTTATATTGATCATTTAATGACAATATATTATACATTATATCTTATATAACAAAACCATTATCCCTGGGTTATATTCAATTTGGAATTCGTTTTTTGCACAAAAATTTTCCTGGTCATTAGTGAGCCGTAGTAGAAAGCAGGGATCATCACACTTTTTTGGTAAGGAGCCAAAAATATTTAATGTTCATTTGAGAGCACATATGGTCTCTGTCAAAAGTCTTTTTTAACAATCATTTTTAAATGTAAAAATTATTTTTAGCTTAGGACCATTAAAAAAAATAGACCACAAATCTGATTTGGCTCACTGGCCATAGTTTGCCAACTCTTGATAAAATTTTCTTTATACCTTTAATAAATATCTCTAGATTGCATTTCTTTCAATACTTAGCACCTTTTATTACACCACACATTGTGCTCAACAAAGATAATATAGGAGTAGGGGTTATTGTATCTTTTTTTTCCCCTTTATTTTATACTTCGTGTAGCTTATAGTGTCAGTTAATAAATGTGCTTGTTTATGCACACAGAGGTATGAAAGGCAGCTGGATGTGTATGTTTACTGTGTGCCTTTCATGGGACACTTCTTTTACCTAGTGGATAATCTAATGCATGGTTGTCTGATCCCAGACCCAGGTTCTGTCATGCAGGAAACTTTTTTTATATACTGACAGATGCCCATGTGGCTCTTGTGTGACCCATGTCCACTTTATGCTTCCTGACCATTGCAGTGACACAGGGAACCCAACCTTGTGTTCTCCCCAGCATCCTAGAGAAACCCCTGTCTGGGGTAGTCCCTGGTTCTTCCAATGGGTGGTACAAATTTCATACACCATCACAATGGGAAATAAGTTCAAAGATCTATTACTTACAAATCCTGGGCAGGGAGGGTACCATCTCTATGTCACATCAGGCAAGAGTGAAGAGGAGTCAGGTAGAGAGAAAGAACACACATGCAACTAGCAATATATACAAGGAAATAGATCATGGGTCATTTTTGATCTGTTCGAAAGGAAGCCAGGACAGCAGATGCCCAGTTTGCTAGGCAGGAAGGGTGCCTCTAAGTTCTTATCTTTGGCTATCACCCATACCCTTTTGTGTATGATGTTCTAATGCCTCGGCAGCAACTTATGTTACCTTGCTGTGTCATTCCTATTACAAATGCACAGTTTCTACCCTCCCACAACTCATTCCAGTAGAAAAGACAGTCAAGAAAATGAGTGACTATTACATGTTCTAAGTGCTATAAAAGAGTGCTGTGATAGTATAGAAAATGAGCAAAGTAGACTGTAACATTTATATTGACCCTTATAAAAGCCATGGTTTCAAGGCATAATTTTAAGAAGCATTCATGCTTTGTTTCAGCTCTTTAAATTTTGTGCAAACTGCATTGTCAGGAACTCGGCATTTCTTTATTTGCTCCTACTGTTTCACCATTGTACTTTGCAAAGGGAAAGCCATTTATGTAAATTGTGATTCAAATCCCCTCTGTATCGCCAACCATCTGTATGATCTTGTGTAAGTTTCTTTGCTCTTTGTAGTCTTTATTTCCTCATTACAAAAGGGAATAATCCTAACTCTGTTGTAGAATTTTGCTAAGGACTCAATGAGAAAATCATCATAGAATGTTGAGTAAATGTCCATATCCTCTCCACTTATTCCTTCTTTACAAATACAGTTATACAACAGTACATGTATTATGTAGAACTAAAATTATACATGATTTAGGTTCTATTTTATCTTCTTTACTATTTCTATTATACACAGTTCATAAAGATGTTTTAGAAAGAAACTAGTTCTTGATGTTGTATTTGAAGTACCACTAACATATTAGTGAAAATTGTTTTTTTTCATTCACAGACAACTTTCAGCAATAGAAATAACTTACAAATTTGTTTGTGTTACTTACAAACAATAAAACTATATGCTTAGTCATCATTTAATTCCACATATGATTAAATGTCACTAGCTATCCAAGAGGGAAAAAAACAAATATTGTTACTATATAATAAAATGTCTTTGAAAGTAAAGTACCAGTAATGAAAACGAGGTCAATATAAAATATGACAAAAATGGATGTTCTGTTTATCCTAATTTACATATTAATTCTAATTGATACTACCTTTATAATTAGAAAAAATTCCTGAAACATGCTAAAAATCTAAGCTAAAATAATATCTATATGAGTTTCTAAGTTCAGATTTTAAAACCATGACTAAATTATATTTTTTAATTTGGCTTTCCACTTCAGAGTGTGTACTTTCTGTGTCTGTCAATCTTGTTGTAATCTTTAACTGCAGATTATTTGTGTGTACTCAGCGTTGGCTGTTACTTACCTTGAATATAAAAAGTCTCAAAATTATTCTCTTTTACTTCTTTTAAGTTCTACCAAAATTAGACAAATGCTGCTCAGATTTTCCTAATTAATTGTAGAGAATGTTAAATACTTTATGCACCTTCAATGCCAAATTATTGTGCTAGACTTTTCGCTTGAAATCTTTAGAAAAATTTTTTCTGCCAGAGTAATACTTGTAATTAATTTTAGTTTGGTAGCTTTGAGGCTGAACTGTATCTCCTGTTTTATATAGGAGGAAGGAGATGTCAAACAAGCCTTTCCGTTCCTTCTCCGCAGGTACTTGAGCTCGTCCACTGTAACTTTGCTTGCTCTGCAGTAGTTAAAACTAACCCTCTGTGGACTCTTCAAAGTTCTCTATTGCTGCACCTCACCCTCCTTTAGTTCCCTGGTTCTGTTGGCGCATCTCTATTTCCACTGGCTGCTTCTGACAACATTCTTAATCCCTGAGCCTCCAGTGCTACACCACCAGCCGGTTTTGACTGAGGTCTCCTCATACCTCCTGGTTGCCATGTTGGCAGGACACATGACTACCCAGTGGTAACAGCAAAACCAAATGCTGTCCTTCTTGGCTGCATCTGATCTGTGGATATACTTACACATCAGTTGCCCAACAAACTGTAGTTCAGGCCAGTTGCAGAGGTAGTAAGCACTCTCCTGACTCCTCAGTTAAAGCAATAAATCAGTTCTCAAATATTCAGTCCTGCTTCATGATATACTTTTAACTTTCCCAGACATGAATCAGATACGAGTCCTCTGTGCATCCCATGTTAGCAGACTATGTATTGCAAAGTGTTTTCTCCTTAAAGTGTCTACCTTATTGAGTTTGGAATGAGAAGGCAATGCTCTTCCCCTCCCATCCCCACAGGGTGTAGTGATGGAGACTCACAATCTGGCAACAGCTCTCTGTAAGGAAACTTTTCTGCCTTCATCTCACATAACCCCTTCTGTGAACATTTTTATATGCTTAATCTCTCTAAGGGGCAATCTACATATTGTGGGGGTATTGAGAATGGATGGCTATTCATACTCACTTCAGTGTCTGGTAGCTATCTTGTTGGTGTTTCAGCGGAAGCATCTAACATCCTTTTACCCCTAATCCAATATTCTGTTTAGTTCTGTACTATCATATTACCATTAGTTAAATGTAAATTTTAATGAATTCACTATTGATCACAGTTTTTATATGTCTTTTACTTTTCACATTCTTTTTTTGTTTAGATGGTGTCTTAGGGCATTTTTTTGCTGCTGTAACAGAATATCTGTGACTGGGCAATTTATAACAAACAGAAATTTACTGGTTCACAGATCTGGAAGGTTGGAATTCCAAGACTGAGGGGCAGCGTCTGACAGAAGTCTTCTTGCTGCATTATCCTGTGGCAGAAAACAGAAGGATAAGAGAGAGCAAAAGAGAGCTAAACTTGCCCTTTTATAATAGCACCAGTTCCACCCAACGAGGGTGGAGGCTCATCACCTAATCACCTATTAAGGGACCCATCGATCTTTTTTTTTTTTAATATATATATTTTATTGCATTTTAGGTTCTGGGGTACATGCAGGATTGTTGCATAGGTGCCTACATGGCAACGTGGTTTGCTGCCTCTATCCTCTCGTCACCTATATCTGGCATTTCTCCCCATGTTTTCCCTCCCCAGCCTTCCTACTCCCCGCTGTCCCTCCCCTGTCCCCACCACAACAGACCCCAGTGTGTGATGCTCCCCTCCCTGTGTCCATGTGTTCTCATTGTTCAGCACCCACCTATGAGTGAGAACGTGCAGTGTTTGATTTTCTGTTCTTGTATTAGTTTGCTGAGAATGATGGTTTCCAGATTCATCCATGTCCCTACAAAGGACATGAACTCATTGTTTTTTATGGCTGCATAGTATTCCATGGTGTATATGTACCACATTTTCCCTGTCCAGTCTATCATCGATAGGTATTTGGGTTGGTTCCAGGTCTTTGCTGTTGTAAACAGTGCCACAGTGAACATATGTGTGCATGTGTCTTTATAATAGAACAATTTATAATCCTTTGGATATATGCCCAGTAATGAGATTGCTGGGTCAAATGGAATTTCTATTTCTAGGTCCTCGGGGAATCTCCACACTGTCTTCCACAATGGTTGAACTAATTTACACTCCAACCAACAGTGTAAAAGTGTTCCTGTTTCTCTACATCCTCTCCAGCATCTGTTGTCTCCAGATTTTTTAATGATCGCCATTCTAACTGGCATGAGATGGTATCTCAGTGTGGTTTTGATTTGCATTTCTCTAATGACCAGTTATGATGAGCATTTTTTCATGTGTTCTTTGGCCTCATAAATGTCTTCTTTAAAAAGTGTCTGTTTATATCCTTTGCCCACTTTTGAATGGATCTGTTTATTTCTTGTAAATCTGTTTTAGTTCTTTGCAGATTTTGGATGGGTAGATTGCAAAAATTTTTTCCCGTTATGTTGGTTGCCTGCTTACTCTAATGATTGTTTCTTTTGCTGTACAGAAGCTCTGGAGCTTAATGAGATCCCATTTGTCTATTTTGGCTTTTGTTGCCAATGCTTTTGGTTTTTAGTCTTGAAGTCGTTGCCTATGCCTATGGGACCTATCACTTAATACTGTCACAATGGCAATAAAATTTCAACATGAATTTTGGAGAGGATATTCAAATTGTAGCAAATTTAAATGAGAAAGCATTCAAATTATCAGAGAAGGATTTAACACAAGCAATTGGATGCTTTTACATTATGTTAGGAAGAATTGGAGGAGCAAGCTCTCTAGGAGGGCTGGATCCTAGGAATGCTTGAGAACAAAATCAAGGAAGTGAGCAACCAGAAAGAGCTGCTACTTTCCCGTCATCAGAAATGAGAAAAAGCTAGAAGCTGCTGCCAGCAACATATCAACGAGCCTTTGGTACCCAGAAAGCTAAGCAATTACACACTGTAACACAGATGTAGAAAACCTCAATATCTCCATGACTGTGCTTGACAAAAGAAGCTAGGCAAGCATCAGCACATTGCCTCACTCACTTCTAAATTCCAAATAACATGCAAATGTATCTGTTTAGCAGAAGCTAATTCTCAACCAAAACCTTAGCTTTGTTGAGTAACAACAACAACAAAAACTGGGTGTAGCTTTCTAATTCCTGCAGTATATGCTAAAGGTTAGGGTGTTGCCTGCCATATCATAATATACACCACCTTTCCACAAATAATTTTTTTTAGAGACATTAGTGGCGTACCCTCAAATGTTTAAAACTTTGAGGTGGTCCTCAAAGGTTTAAAAATTTCTTTTTCAGTTCCGTATGAATTATAACTTTCCTAAGTATTGAATATCAGCATTATAATTTTATTCAGAATGCCTAAAACAAGGCTTCATCATTGCTTCTTACCATTTGGTGTTTTGGATGAAAAATATAAGGCCAATCTGATTAACATTTCTTCTCTGAAAATATAAATGATTTTTTTTTTTTTTTAGAATTTCAGGAAACACATGTATAAGTCCTTTTTTATTAGTCATGCTTTCTGACACATAGTGAATTTTTCATTTTGAAGTAAATGGCTTTTACTAAGGTACAGTATTCCCTTGAATCTCATTGAGAATAGGAATTATTTAAATGCTTCCCTTTTTTCTGCATTTCCCTTAATTCCTTATCAGTGAAGTCTATTTCCTTCTATTTAGCTTGTTCCCTTCATTTAGGCTGCTCATTTTCCTCATGTATCCAGAGGTTTCAGGTTCTTAGCATTGTTGGTAAAGGTCTGATAGTGCAGTGGTGAAGAGCCAGACTACCTAGGCTCAGTTTGGATCTAGGATAATGATTCTACTCTCCTCAAAGGATGGTTGTATAGATTAAATGAGTGAGCATCTGTGAAGTGCTTTAAAAAGTGCCTCAAATAGAATGAGAGCTTATCACCACCACTACCTCTGCTACCTGATGTGAGTGGAAAGATATTTGCTTTAGAATTTGTCTGGGTCTAGCTGTAGTACTGTGCTAGCCGGCTTTATACTCTGGATCTCAGTGGACAGTGGATTAAATGGCTAAAGTTGCAATGCCCTTGAGCAGTGTTTGTGACTATACGCACTTGAAGTTTTTAAGAAATTTGACAGTATTTCTACTATACAAGTTGGAGCCCTTTCTTTCTTTCTCTCTTTCTTTTTTTCTCGTTCTTTCTTCCTCTCTTTTTTCTCTCTTTCTCTCTCTTTCTTTCTTTCTTTCTTTTCTACAAGGTCTCTCTTGCCCAGACTGAAGTTTGATGGCACAATCATGGCTCACTGGAGCCTCCATCTGCCAGACTCAAGCAAGCCTCCTACCTCAGCCTCCTGAGTAGCTGGGACTACAGGCGCTGTCCACCACACCAAGCTAATTTTTCAAAAAATTTTACAGAGACAAGGTCTCACTGTGTTGCCCAGACTGGTCTCAAACACCTGGACTCAAGCGATTCTCCCACCCCAGCCTCCAAAAGTGCCAGGATTACAGGTGTAAGCTATCGCACCTGGCTTCTTTCTGTTTTCAACTGGTGATTGTTGGACAGAGTTCTTTCTGCTACTTTGGTTTAATCCAGGAATTGAGAGTAAGAGAAAGTCAAAGAGGTATTAGTCTTGATAGTGTTAGACTCACCAGGTGTTGATTTTGGAAAAATGTTAAAAGTGTTATTATATATAACAACTCAAAAGTAGCTACTAATTTGACATCTGATTGCTTCCCCTTCCAACAAAATTCAACTTTATTGTAAATATGATAGAATTTTTCAGTCCATAGTAAAAATAGTTTGAAAAAATAATTATTGAGCACAGTTGTCATATTTGTTTAAGCAGTTTCAAAAATTAGAGAAAAAACTGCATTATATGTAATACAAAATGGAAACACTCAAGTGATGCAGATGGACACTGTAGACACATTTTCAGTCTCGTTAGTTTAAGATGTACTTCTAAGTTTGGCATTTGAAAATGGCTGGTGGATATTAAAAAGTTGTTGGGTAATGTACAACTCCTTTGGTATAGGAACAACTTACTTTGAAGTCTAAAAATTGTAATTATCTTGCAGTATATCAGGGATATGAAAGATTTTAGTTTTATGATAGCCATGGTACATAACAGCAAAGATAAGCCATAATTTGAACTTTCTGAGTGATTGGGTAGTATTGAATTTAATGAGTTGCTTTTGTACAATTTTAAATGTGTACTAAGCTAATATTTATTGGATAATTTTGAAAAATCTGGCATATTGTATCTTAATTGACTGTAAAAAACAGAAAAACGTGATATATGCAGTAGTGATGTTGGACTTAGGTTTATTGCAAAATGAGTTTATTCTGTTATTTATGCCATCATAATTGTATGTCTATTCTTGAATTAATTATGGACACATTTTTCTACTTTCAGGCATGAAGGAACTGACTCTCAAGCAGACCTAGGGGATGTCATTGTTGTATTAAACAGCTTCAAAAGCAAGATCCTGGAAGTAAAAGTATGTGGGGCAGAGCTCTTTATAGGCTCGGTTCTTAATATTAAGAATTATCTTCTTTGCTTTTTAATTTATTTATTTTACAATCAACTTTACAATTTTACAACCTAAAATGGTATAATTGAACTCCAGCAGTAAAAAAGGAAGAGGATTAAGTTCAAAATGGAAAACTGAACTGGAAGATAGAAGAATTTTTTTTTACATTATAACTTAACTATATCTACACCTTATGTGTAGCCAAATTACGTTACAAATTGTACTCTATAGATGAGATCAAGAACAATCACTGAAAAAATTAGTCCAAAAAAGAAAAGGTGATGTTTCTTTTCTTAAGAAGGGAGAGAAAGGGAATTTTTAATGATGGCAGATGTTATTTTTTTGGACCAACCCTCCTGCTTATAACTAGTTAAAATATTAGATAAAATTTTTTTAAAATCTTAAGAACAATGAGGAACTGATAATAATGAAATAATAAAGATAATAAGGAAACACAAAACCAAACTTAAAGGGAAAATAAGAGTCTAGTGAAATAAGCAAGCACAGAAATTTTACTTGACCCGAGGAAGCTACTGTTGCCCTGGGAACATTTGTTTTTCCTGTCACAGTTTACCATTTTTATTTAATTTGATGGATTAGGGGTCAAAAATTAGAACCCAGAACCCACATAAAGTATGTACTCTATTAGAAGACTCTCTCTACAATAAACTAGCTATGTTTTCAAGGTAAGGATGAAACATAAAAAATTATTCCTCACACACAGTCTTTTAGACCAAGTTTGAGTCACCTAAGTAGGCCAGGGAATCCTGAACGTTGAATTGGTGCTAAAATAGTTCTAGATTGATAGGGTATACAGGTATCTGGAAGAGACACCCATAAATCTCTGGAATAAATTACAGTAGCCTAAGCTGCAAATCAAATTTTTCTAGTGTAAAGACCAACTCATGGTCAAAGTTAACCAAATACACAAAACTAGCAGAAAAAGAAAACACACACACACAGACTCAAGATATTAGAATGATTGGAATAGCATCTGAAACAGCTGTACTTTGTTTAAAGAAATTAAAGATGAGTTTAAAAATAATTGCAGGAAACAAGAAACTATAAAACATGTACATCAGATTTTTTTAAAATTAGACCTTTGGAAACTGAGTAATACAATACCAAAATTAATCATTCAATAGATAGCTTTAACATGCCTTCAGAGAAAATTAGCCAGTTAGAATGGCGATCATTAAAAAATCTGGAGACAACAGATGCTGGAGAGGATGTGGAGAAACAGGAACACTTTTACACTGTTGGTGGGAGTGTAAATTAGTTCAACCATTGTGGAAGACAGTGTGGCTATTCCTCAAGGACCTAGATATAGAAATTCCATTTGACCCAGCAATCCCATTACTGGGCATATATCCAAAGGATTATAAATCGTTCTACTATAAGGACACATGCACACGAATGTTCATTGCAGCACTGTTTACAATAGCAAAGACCTGGAACCAACCCAAATGCCCATCGATGATAGACTGGACAGGGAAAATGTGGCACATATACACCATGGAATACCATGCAGCCATCAAAATCGATGAGTTTGTGTCCTTTCTAGGGACATGGATGAACCTGGAAACCATCATTCTTAGCAAACTGACACAAGAACACCGCATGTTCTCACTCATAGGCGGGTGTTGAACAATGAGAACACATGGACACAGGGAAGGGAGCATCACACACTGGGGTCTGCCGGGGAAATAGGGAAGGGACAGCAGGGGGTGGGGAGTTGGGGAGAGATAGCATGGGGAGAAATGCCAGATGTAGGTGATGGGGAGGAAGGCAGCAAATCACACTGCCATATGTGTACCTATGCAACAATCTTGCATGTTCTTCACATGTACCCCAAAACCCAAAATTCAATGAAAACAAAAAACAAATGTTTACAAAGGAACAAATTAAAAAAAAAAAATTACTCACTGTTGTCCTAAGTTTGACCATTTTATATCCCCACCAGCAATTCCTGAGAGTTCCAGTTGTTCCACGTTTTCCCTTGCAATTGATTCTTTAACTTTGTCATTCTAATGAGTGTATAGTGGCGTCTCCTCTGGCTTTAATTTGCATTTCTCTGATGATAAATAATGTTAAATACTTTTTCATGTGTTTATTTGCCATTCCTATATATTCCTTTGTCAAATTTCTGTTTAATTATTTTTCTACTTTTTATTAATTGTTTTTATTGTTGAATTTTAGGAGGGTTTTTTTTTTTTTTCATATTCTGGTTACAAGTTACCCATGCCATCCCTCAAATAAAATATTTTCTCTCATTAAAAGAAAACAGTTAGCGAGTTGGGAGATAGGCCTAAAAAAGTGTACCAAATGCAACAGTGACAGAAAAAACGAAAATATAGCATAGAGTATTAACACACACACACACACACACACACACACAAACACACAATGTGAAAGTCTAAGATTACTAGGAGTGGATTTAAAACTGGCTCTGCCACTCACTAGCTGTGTGACATTGGACAGATTACTTAATCTCTTTGTCTCATTTCCTCATCTGTAAAACCGGGTTAACAATAGAATCTACTTTATGGGACTGTTATGAAGATAAGATAAAGCACTTTATGAATGTTTGTTGGATAAATAAAATTAGTCTAAATGGAATCTCAGAAGATAATGAAAGAATGGGGTACAAGCAATACTTGAAGCAATAGTAGCCAAGAATTTTTATGAATTGATGAAAGGTACCAATTACAAATATTCAACAGCCTACCCATACCTAGGTCTTTCAGCAGTTTTTTTCTTTTTGTGTTTTGGGTTTTTTTGAGATGGAGTCTCACTCTGTCTCCCAGCCTGGGGTGCAGTGGCCTGAGATCTTGGCTAACTGCAACCTCCATTTCCCAAATTCAAGTGATCCTCCTGTTTCAGCTTCCCAAGTAACTGGGACTACAGGCATGTGCTACCATGCCTGGCTAATTTTTATGTGTGCATGTATTTTTTGTATTTCTAGTAGAGGTGGGGTTTAATGTGTTGGCCAGGCTAGTCTTGAACTCCTGACCTCAAGTGATCCAACCACCTCAGCCTCTCAAAGTGCTGGGATTACAGGTATGAGCCACCACGCCAGCCACCTTCAGTTTGTTTTCTAATAACACAGTTTTGTCTCCTAACCATCTCTCTCTCTCAGAATTACAGTAAAAAGATAGAAAAACAGAGAGGAGAAAAGATAAGCAACATAGAGGATCAGCCCATGAAATCCAGTAGCCTACTAAGAGGAACTTCAGAAAGTACAGAGAAGATGGAGGAGGGAAAGTGTCTAAAGCTGAGAGAGAAAAATGTTCATGTCAAAAGAGTCCACAAATTACCAAGTAGAATGAATGAAAATGGCCCACATAAGATCCTAATAGCTGCTAAGAAGAAAAAGTGGGTCACTGCAATATAATGACCCTTAACACTAGCACCAGAATTTCATTTTCAAAATACTTAGATGTTGACAGCAAAACAAAGGTTTCAGTGTTCTGAGGAAAATAATTTAAACCTAAGATTCTATATCTAGCTAAATTCTTAATCAAATGTGAAGGCAAAAAGTTTCTGTAGTGTGAGGATTTTTTCATACCCCTTCTTGAAGACATTTGGCAGTACAATGAAGATGAAGATCAAGAAAGAAGATAGGTAGTTCAAGAAATGGTGAAACTAATCTGTAAACCAATGTAAAGAAAATCTAGAAAGAAACAGTTAATTGTTGAACTTTAAGAAAAATGTCTTCAGGTAAACAAGAATTCCAGACAATTAGATAACATGAGTAACAAACTGAAAAAGATTGTGTCTCTGATAAAGAAGACATATTTGTATACCTCCCCACAAGAAAAAATAAGAACAATGTAATTCCAGGAAAAAGATAGTCCTCTGCTGGTGGAATGTAAGAAAGGACAATTCATCTGAACTAGCAAGAAGTCTTCTAGGAGTGGCACAGTGACCATAGGAGGAAACTAACTATTCTGTACTATGCTAAAACTGTAACTGTACAAAGGAAATAGAATTTTAGTAGCTTTTCAGACTCATCAATGGTTAATCTTTACATTGTCATGATAAACACTTTTTACTGATTTTCTTGTTTTTGAATCACTGTAGCAAAATGCAACAGATACATTTATGTTTACTGAACTAACGTAAATGTTATCTGTATTTACAAATGCTAAAGTCAAGGTTTAACTAACGTAAGTTGGGAGGTAGAGGGAAAGCATAGAAATAGTGGTGTCCTTGTCTAATACACAGAATATACAAGAGAAACTGTTGGGATTGTGGGAATAAAAAAAAATAAGAGATTTAAATATTATTTAAAGTGACAAAAAAATACTTAGAAGAACTGAAGATAAACATATTACTACCAAAATTTCCAGACAAATAGGGAAAGGGAAGGATGACAATAAGTGAGGTATTTATCTGTCATCGCAAAGAATGAATAATGTCTAAACTCTGAATTCAGAAATACTAGTAGATAATGCCTAAAAGCTGGTAAATTAATAAACATAAGTGTAAGCACATTATTTAGCAATATGGAGGTGACCATCGAAGAAACTAAACAGAGGTTGACTTGATAGTTGAAGACCAGATTGTTTACAACATTGTGCTAAGATATTGCCTGTCTTTGGTTACTGCAACTATCCATCTTAGATTTCCAATGGTAATCTTGCCCGTATGCTTTACTTTCTAACCATACAGCATGAAATGTAAAGCAGCCAAATTCTAATTTTTACCATGCTATCTAGGTGAAAAAAAAACCAGATAAAATTAAGGAAGATATCCTTAATGATGAAGATGAAAAAACAAAAGGAATGTGGGATTCCATTAAAAGGTAATTACTAATGAATATTTTAACACATAACTAGATTGATCCAGAAGTCTAGTATGTGGAAGTTCCACAGGTAGTAAAAATTTAAGTAAAGCAGAGGTCCTCCAATCTAGGAGGGATAATATAAATACATAAATGTTACTGCTATGTGCAAGATAGAAAACTAGAGCTGTAAGACAGATGAAAATAAAATACAAACTAATGGAGAAAAATGATATATCTGATTACAAGGAACCTCAGGAAATACTCCTTGGAGGAGTGGCAAAGATCTGTTTTAAAGGACAGACAGGATTTCAAAAGTTAAAGATTGAGTGGAGGTGGTTACATGAAGGCAAAAAGATTGGATATGTTCCTCAAAAGAAAGTAGCCTAGCGGCTGGGCGCGGTGACTCACGCCTATAATCCCATCACTTTGGAAGGCCGAGGCGGGTGGATCACGAGGTCAAGAGATCGAGACCATCCTGGTCAACAAGGTGAAACCTTGTCTCTCTACTAAAAATACAAAAATTAGCTGGGCATGATGGTGCGTGCCTGTAGTCCCAGCTACTCGGGAGGCTGAGGCAGGAGAATTGCTTGAACCCAGGAGGCGGAGGTTGCGGTGAGCTGAGATCGTGCCATTGCACTCCAGTCTGGGCAACAACAGC